TATTGTGGAAGAGCCATGCTTCAGAAAAAATGGGCGGGTTCAACCGCAGTGATACCACGGCATCACAGAAAACCGGTGTAATGAAATTATTTCGTTGCCTATCGCCAATTGAGTTAACGGAACCCAAACCCACTGTGTGCTTTTCAAGACACTTTTTGCCTTGCACAACCAATCTGTGAAAAAGGTAACCTTGCGGTATTTCCGGAAAAGAGCGTACTCCTTCCTAAAAGGCCGGTATTGCGTTTGTGACTCATGAATTGCAGAAGTTCATGGGCGGTGGTAACTTTCGATCAGGTGACCCGTCTGCTCGTTTGCCCCTTCTTCCATAAAAAACCTACCCCTCCCCTGAATCAGGGCGGGAATGCGTGTGCTCGTTTGCCCCCTTATTCATAAAAATAAACAGTTTGATGAGAAAGTATTTTTATCATCACTAACTAAATATCCATCACCATATATAAAATTCCTGTTTATAAATTTTCTGCTTGGTGTCTATATTTAAAGACAGGTCACTTCGGAACTTTATGAACCTTCGAATGTTATTGTAGGTACGACATATTTGCTATATAAAATAAAATAAATGCGACCCGATACCGTTACGCAAATATTATACGAGCAATTTGTTTATAGGGATGTCACGTATACCTAGAGAATATAAATGTTGTTTCATTATTGTTTGTACTTTCTTTTTATCTTATTATTTCGTATGGAATTATTTTTAGGGTATCTGTGAACATGAGTAAGACTGTGTTCTTGTACGTATGTGTGTAAAACTTAAAAGCTTATAAGGGTGTGGCGACTTCCACATACGGTGAAACGAAGAAACATACTACAGCGCCATCTATCGATGATACACCGAACTGCAGAGTAACTCCTAATCCCGTATCGCGGTATGAATAATTCTCACGCCGATTAGAAATGATACTCGTTCCTCCACAAAGGACTGGTATCGAAAAATATCTTAAATAAAATGTAAGAAATATTTTATTGCAAGGGTTTTCGCTGGTTAATTTTATCGTTGACTGCCCACTACATGTCAACTGTCCTTTGTAATATAAATGTTCACAGACAGAGCAATAGAAAACAGTAAATTGGGGTAAGTGAAACAGTTTGGGTGTAACGGCAAGTAATACCGTAAGGCTTGGAGATGATACAGGGTGAGATGGTAGAGTTACAAGTCTCTGATGTTGCGAACACGTATGTCCATTCTATAGAGGCCCCTGAATCAGAAACACTGGATTTATAATGTTAATTTTTAACAATCTCCATCTTTTTCAATCCTTAAATTCATTGTACCAAAATCCGATGTCGCCACACGGTTTCTACCTGTAAAGTGGAACTCCTTAAAACAACTTGGAAAAATCAATAAGACTATTTTGAAGGCAAAGTGAACAGTGCTCCATAAAATACTATTCATACATCTTTTACTGAGAAAAAATAAAGTAACGAACTATATTTGTGTGTGCTATCTGTAAAAGAATCTATTAGCTTTATTATTATTACAATGCTCGTACAAAACCGAGTAGTTACAGGCACTTTATCTTTGCCATGTATAGTAAAATATAATTTTGGTAAAAGAAAGGACCGACAGTTATGTTCGCTTAAGTGTGCGTCGTAAACTATTATATTTTTCGGGCAAAATAATAAGAGAGATAACGCTGAGACTATCATTTACAACAGAAAAATGAATATACAGTGCCTTTCCTCCCAAGGATTGTTATCCCTTTTATTTTTTTTATTTCGAAAAGTTTATTGCCAAAGTAATGATTAAAGCATAAAAAAAAATACCATGTAGAAGTAAAATCTCTAATATTAATTTCATCTGTCAAGAAAACAAGCCCACCAACTTTTATTATATTTCCGTTTAAAGTTAAGGTAACTAGATGTAAGTTTGAGTACTTTGGGTATATAAATTACGCAATTCAAATCAATTAAAGAAAATGGAGGTTACATTTCTGTAAAAAGTATAGCTGTTTTTTATATTTTTTCTATTCAAACAAAAATATATTTGCTACATCTGGATTAGGAACAAATTTAACCATACTAAAAAATGACTAAATTTAACTTAGTATTTTTTGACATTCTTAAACACCGACTTTATTTTAACAATTCAGTAGTGATCCTAGGCAAAGCTGTCTAATTTGTACATTTTTGAAACCTATATATATCTTTTTCCTGTGCGGAACTCCCCTCGGATACCACCCACCACTGGGTGATTATGTCGGACTCGAACCGACCAAAAACCGCACGTCGTCTCCAGGTACCAGTAGCCGAGGAACCAGGTATACCTGGCTTGCTTCTGCTACAGTGACAGATGGCCTCTCCTGTCACCCTCATGCCTGCGCTTATGGAGGACGGAGGTCGCTCTGCAATCTCCGGGGTCCGAGCTATCTGCGGTACCTGGCCCGTTCTCGGCCCGTATTTTTGAAACCTCCCAAGAATGTTATGTTCGAAGAATATCACAACCGTTCTTCCACACTTTTGTATTATTCTTTAACACTAAATGTAGTAACAACCTTACTCCCATATCGGCAGTATATGTTACGAATTATTGATATTTGTGCGCGTACACTGGGTTTAATTAAATAGGCCTCGTAAAAGTAAATAGTCCCGTCTATTAACAAATAAATGTATTCCTCCGTTGTGGAAGAATGATTTACATATTTAATGGAAGTGGTCTTGGGCGGAAAGTATCTGGCGTGCATTTAATATAGTCATATAATATTATAGCTTATAGTTTTCATGTAACAGCGGTCAAGGAAAGGTTTTTGAATAGTTGTAATCTTTTTATATCTGGAGTCCATTGTTATTTTACAAACGCCGTCAGATATTTGACACTACGATTGACACCTCGTCTATTATGTAATAAAAACTCTTTGTCCAATGCGCTTTACAATTCCTCTGCAGCCTAAATGCAAGTTTGCACATATTCCAACGATGAAATCTGTATATTTTTAATTTGTCTTTTATAAAACAAAACGGATGTATATGTTACCAAATCTGGATTGTAACAAAGGTGAGCCAGAATATTGATCAGTTCATTCAACATTCAACCTTTCAAAGCGTAGCAATCTTTCAAAGCAACTGCAAGTTAAAAAAATTATACCAAAAATTCCGTCATTGTAAAATAACTAGCGATTAAAATGTGTGCTTTTTTAATCACTTGAACTATGATTAAGACAAGGCGACACTAAACTGAGCTGTCGTAAATGACACCATTCAATGCTACTGGGTATCTATAAGGTTGTGAAGTACCCAGTTCGAAGTTATAGGCACGCACAGGTACTAATGTATAATCTTGTAAATTTTCCTGAACCTATGTCGAAAATGTGCAGAATCTCTTCATACGCGATACGCCTATTCTTTTTGATTATTTTTTTATTGCTGACAAGTTTTTTTTTCCTTAACAACCTTTCAAGGACGACCAAACCTTTCTTCGTAAGGCATAGTTTACTGACATGGTTTTCGCCGACATTTGCAATTTTAAAGTTATCGCAAAAAACCTTTTTAGGTAGGTACAACATAACATTTCCTAGCAGAATTTTTTGACTGGCCTGGTAATTTGTATTGAGAAAAATTACAAGTGCTAAAATTTCTGGGAATACAGGTGACATCTCTGTAATTACTCAATTCATAAATAATGTATTTATGTAAAAGGAAGGCAAACCGGTGACCTGTTTTTCACTCATTATGACTGTAGTGGTTGTGCTTAACAACCGTTGAAAGTTATAAATGCCTTGAGAAGCTATAATACAAAATAGGCAAGGTAATGAATGCAAACAAGCGCATCAACATAAAACTGTAATATTCCAAAACTGCGGTAAAGTTCGTGACATGTCCCAATTAGCTTAATAGACGTCACGCACGAAGCTTCACGTGGCACGCTTTAAACTAAAAAACAATTTATTTATTTACTAACTGCAGGTATGTATATATGTGTGTTATTGTATATGTTAGTTAAAACTTTATAACTACTGTTACAGCTGTAATCTCAGTGCACCTACCTTACCAGATTTCCAAAAAAAAAGAGCCAGCCGGTAGAGAACGTCCAGGGCATTAAGTCCGCCGTACACGTACACATCACACATGTGATGATGTGATGTGTGATGTGACACAAGTGCATAAAGTTGTAAATAAATAAAAGCAAAACTCTCGATTTAATTATAACAACGTTAGTCTTAGTACTATAAACTTAATTTTGATTAACAAATTAACCGACATATTAAGACGTCTCTTGATTAAGCTTTATATAATTGATTATCCTAAACATGTCATTTTTTTAATTCAAAATTTTATTATAATTTATAATTATTCAAATAAAAAATTGTGGTAAATTACACCTTTTTTTTTTTTTTTTTTTTTTCGTTCGGAAATCCCCTCGGATACCCCCTGTCGGTGACATGTCGGACCGGAACCGACTAAAACCGCACGCCGTCTCGGGTACTAATAGCCGGGGAACCAGGTATACCCTAGAAAGGAAGTCCCTGGTGCTGGTAAATTACACCTGACTTAAATTTGCCATCAAAATTAGATCACTTTTTTGTTTATTTTTTATATGTAACAGGGGGCAAACGAACATACAAATCATCGAATGGTAAATGACTACCGCTGCCCATGAACATCTATGACTCAAGAGACACGACCGCGTTGAAATCCAGTATTCAGAAGCACAATCCCCCAATTGGGCATCCGAGGTTGCCGAGAAATTACAATTTGCGATAAGGTCATCAATAAATTATATGAATTATGGATTTAGTTCGTATAAATTGAAAAAATACTAAAAAAAGTTTTATAAATCCGCTAAATTTCACCTTTTTTCGAAATATTCAATTTCTTTCCTTCTTGATTTACGCGATGTCGGTCGAACATTTTTCTTTAGAGTGTTTCTGCTTGAACAAACAGACTCGGAATAGATTTAATGGTTTTTATTACGATGATGATGATTTAGATGTTGTGCTGTTAAAATGATAATAATAAAGTTAATGATTTTATTCCAATACTAGGTGGTGAACAGTGGGGGCACAGCAGTCATCAATTGCACCTGGAGTGGCTGGCCAGCCCCTCGCCTGGAGTGGCTTCACAACGGGATACCTTTAGGTGCAGGAGTAGCCGGTGGCAGAGTCAGGGTTCAGAATAATGGAGAACAGTTACTGATATCCTCAGTCCACCGAGCTGACAAAGGAGTATATCAGTGCATGGCAAGAAATGAGAGAGACTCGGCGCAGGCCAGTGCGGAATTGAGGCTAGGAGGTCGGTTTTATTTTTGTTTTGTGAGTTGTTCATTTCTTCCAAATTAAACTTAATATCTGTAATAACAATTAAGATGTGCTGTAAATGTATTAAAATTTGCTATACAGACACAGCACCAGAACTCCAGTACACGTTCATAGAACAGGTACTGAGAGCTGGTCAGGTGGTGACCCTGAAGTGTTCAGCTACCGGTTCTCCCCCGCCGCACTTCACCTGGATGCTGGATGGGCAACCGCTTAACACGATGGCTAGAGGTCACAGGTAATTAGTACTCCCACTCTTCATTTGCATACTTTCAATGTTGCACCGTGTTGACTGCACTAGTTTAACCGGTTGCCACGCCGCTTATTACTACGCCGAGTGTTGTGGGTCTGATCCCCACTTGGGACGACACTTTGTGTGATACACACAAACACATATATAAGAATATATTCCTAATGCGGGAGTTGTCTTTTTAAACAAAAAACAAAAAAACAATGTGGTAATTCTATTTTTATACAAAGTAATTATCTTTTTAAAAGTCCAACCTACTTTGATGTGTCATTTTATTATTTATTGACTTTTCACCACTTGAACGTCGCAGTTAAATCTTTTATTTTTATACGGACATTTATTTTCATCACAAGAAAATGATGTATTTGCCACTAAAAAGTTTAAGAGAATGTTTACTTACTAGGTTTAGTGGAGAAATTCTAATGGGTGAGAGAGAATTATAAATAAATCTAAGATGGAATTCTAAAATGTGTACACTTTATCACAGATATAGTTTAGAACAATTCGCGACGAAGACAAACGATGTGGTCAGTTATCTAAATATCTCAGCTGTAAGGTCTGAAGATGGTGGCCTCTACACCTGCAGAGCCGCCAACTCTCTTGGAGAAGTATCACATACATCCAGACTCAACATCTATGGTAAACAACAGTCTTAAAATTCTTAACAAGTTTTTTTTTTGTTTACATTGTCGTAGGACAATAGAGCATTCATGTCGGGCAAACTTTATCAATCTTAGACTGTGCATTTTTTAAATTATAATTATATTAGACATTACAAAGTCAAAGAAGTAGATAAAATTGTTACTATACATCTATTTAGGTATCTCTTTCTCTCTCTCTCTTAGTGGAGAGAGCGAAAGAATAGTCTCGAAATAAAACACTTAACGAAGCATACCTTATATTAGGGATATCATCGCTTCGTGGTGTCGATAATATCTCGAATGGGACTGGAGTTAAAACCAGCTTAAAAGAAAAACTACAATCTTAAGCTAACACATATACGTAAGCAGGTTCCATAAATGTACCATTTATCTGATAGTAATATCATAGCGGTATCGATAACGTGGATCACGAATGATGTACGCCCAAATTCTGCTGCTGACTCGCTACGCTATTTCCTAATTACTATGCCAGTTCGTTTTTTTACTCAAATACGCAATATGGCACATTCCATTTTCAGTTTGTTTTTGTAGGATCGTCAGAAAGAGAGATAGCGTAGTGTTTTGGTTAGTAAGCATACATAATTCATATTGTTTGGTCGGAATTTATTAGTTCTGTAGATCAAAATATGTTGCTGTATGTATGTGGACCCAACCTGAAATCCCTTTTTTATATTTGACTGACTGACCTCTATTTTGTACTTGTTCGAGGGGAGTTATGATTTTGAGATGTACCCTATTTTTACAGGTCCACCTTACGTGCGGTCAATAGGACCGATAAGAGCTGTAGCGGGACGAGAGCTGGTTTTGTATTGCCCTTATTCTGGCTATCCTATCAGGTATGTCTACGAAGAGAAATATATCTAAAAGTATTAAAATTATTAAGACGGTATTCTGCCTTGTGTTAGGACCCGCTTGTGTTTCGACCCGCGCACTGAAACACCTAAAGGCATCTTTTTCATTGGTCAATTTGGCCCATTAATAGATAGTGGAATTAATAATAATATTTAATTACTATAATTCCTTATCGTCTTCGTACCTTTTTCTTAATTTTTGGAAGGCACAAATAAAAATAATTCTGACTGGATTCTGCTGAAAAATAAAAAGGCGCAAATTAGTATTGTAAATATGGTGAGCGAGACAGAAAATGCTAGGAATTAATACCGCATGTCTTTAGCGGATACCCCGGCTTTTACTAGATAATACGAGTAAATACACTTTTACTCAATACTCAATATATTTATTGCATTCCACAATGTTTACTTAGATGGTAAGTTAAATATAAGATCAGATCATCATAGACCCTGTCGGGCACAGCAATAGATGAGAGAGGGAGAGATAATACAAACTAATAACAATAATTATACTTCAGTTTTTTATGTACATGCTTAATTTATTGATTGCTCAGATATTCATTGATGCTGTGATCGCATTTTTGTAGTAATAATTGTTTTAATTTATTTATATATATATTTAATATGGTTTCATTTCGAATTTCTTCGGGTAATTAATTGTAAATTTTGATAGACATTACTTGAGTGCTATTTGAATGAATTTGGAGTCAGGATGAGCGTAGGTTTAGTCTAGTCAGTCCTATGGAGTAGTGTGTAGTTTTTTTGTTTATCCTCTCTTTTTGTAAACAGATGCTGATTTTTTATTATGAAACTGGATTATAAATTATATTTAATTATGAAAATATAATATAAGATTATATACATACTAGCTAACCCGTGCAACTTCGTCTGCGTCTCTCAATAGTAATAAATTTTCTCCGTTTTTGAAACATTCTTCATTGATGCTCCGCTCTTATTGGTCTTAGCGTGATGATGTATAGCCTATAGCCTTCCTCGATAAATGGGCTATCTAACACTGAAAGAATTTTTCAAATCGGACCAGTAGTTCCTGAGATTAGCGCGTTCAAACAAACAAACAAAAACTCTTCAGCTTTATAATATTAGTATAGATAGATGATGTATTTAAATAAAAACTTTCATTAACAAAAATCATCTTTTAGTTCAGTAAAGTGGGAACGAGACGGGAACACCGTAGAGTGGGAAAACAGCATTGATGGAGCTCTCAGAGTATCTAGGGTTGATCCCTCACATGCAGGCGCTTACACTTGCGCTGTTATGGGACCTCACGGTGAAATAGCCAGGAGAGAGTTGCAGCTTGTAGTGAGCAGTAAGTCTGAAAACAATAGTTTCTATGAATACCCAATAAATAGATGATACTAAAAAAACAATTTATCTTTCTCCTATTTTGACGGGCCTGTTGGCCGAGTGGTTAGTGCCCCTGACTGCTAAGCCGGAGGTCGTGGGTTCGATTCCCACACAGGACAAATATTGTGTGATGAGCATGATCATTTGTTCTGTGTCTGGGTGTACTTTATCTATAACATGTATGTATTTAAAAATATATAAGTATGTTTATCAGCAGTCTGGTCACCATAGCACAGGCTCTGCCTAGTTTGGGATCAGACGGCCGTGTGTGAAATGTGTGAGGTATATTATTATATTATTATTATTTTACAATTGCCTATAAAGGTATTTTGTTGCATCGCCATACAATTTCCAACAGCGGTATAACCAACCTATTGAAACAAATTACAGAACTATAACACCTCAGAACTTCTTTACACATTCTAACTTATGAAGAAGTGAGAAAGATAAAAAATTAAACAATTTTTTTTCTTCAGATCCTCCGGAAATCGAACCGTTTTCTTTCTCTGCTAACTTGCAAGAAGGCAAAAGAGCTCAAGTGAGCTGCAGCGTCACCTCAGGAGACATGCCTGTTCACTTCACATGGCTGAAGGACAACGCTCCTATTCCTTCCACTTTACAGGTTCGTTGTAAATATTTCTCTCGAGTTAAATTATGAGGTAATTGCTTCCGATACGGTACGGAAAAATGTTATGATTTCCAAACTTACCGTTGTAAATGTCATGAAGCTCACCTGGTTGTGTAGGTGGAAGAACGAGGCGCTGATTTTTTCAGCAACCTCGTATTCAAAGAGGTATCGGCGCGCCACAGCGGGCTTTATACTTGCGTGGCCTCAAATACAGCGGCCAAGGTTAATTACACCGCTGAACTGGTGGTGAAAGGTAATCGCTATGTCAATATGCACAAAGCACCAGAGCACTGCCATGAACGTTTAGATGATGTGGAAGCGCGGGACGGATGGGATGGAAAACGTTCAAATGACATAGAAAGCGTTTAAAAGTAATTATAGCAAAATTTTGATCATCAAATTTAAAAATTTTTGGAATGCTAGATTCATACTTTCTTAGCAAGCCTTATTCATTTCGAAGATTGCGAATAAAAATCTGTTTTTTGGAACGAAGTTCCTTATCGCGCGTTGTGAAAGGGGGCTAGACGGAAAAAATTCGTCCTAAAATTTGGAACGACACTTTTTTATTAATATAAATTGACGTCTAACTGTGGATACCATACATTAAATTTGCTTTCACGTTCGCCAACGTCCATACCATGTTGAATACACCGGTTCTCGTCCGATCACCGAAGTTAAGCAACATCGGGCGTGGTTAGTACTTGGATGGGTGACCGCCTGGGAATACCACGTGATGTTGGCTTTTTGCTCTTTACTTTCGTGTCATCTTGTCAGACATTCAGCGCCATCTATCGAATAGATAGGAAATCATTTCGCAACTAGATTTTACCAATGTATAAATTGTTTTAATTGTTTTTAATATGTAGGTAATAGCCGCTTTCATAGATGGCGTTGTAATTAAAATCGTGTCAAATCAGTTTTACTCTATCGTCACAACTTCGTTCCTAGCGGGTGTCCCACGACACCACACGGCTTTTTTTTTCTCTGTATTAAACAGCACTTGTAGGATATTAAAATGTTCCTTTTTAATAAGCAAGAAAAACTTGAAATGTAATAATTTAAAATCAGTCAATATTCCCTAAAGTAGGTCCAAATAAATTTTCTTTACTTCGTATTTCCGCCTTATAAATGAAAAATGAAGTCCGTATTTAAATTGTATTTGAAGGAATTCCTAACTTACCTCAAATTTTGGTAACTTTTGCTTCCGAAGAAAATCTAAAAGTTATGAATGTCTAATTTATCAAAGTCAGCTACGATTATAATGTGACTGATTTATGGTTCTAACCATTTTTTTTCTTGTCTATCCGAAAATTTATGTTAATTAAATGAGTAATTCACGACTCACGTTTGAGTTAGCTAAAATAAAATTAGTAATTTGATCATTGAGGCCTTATTCCTATTGTTACAAAGTTAACCTTATTAAATTCTATTAAGGTTTGCTTTTACATATTTTTACATAAACCTCCTTTCTAAGGAGAGGCCTATGTTCAGCAGTGGACTATTACAGGCTGATGATGTGATTACATATTTTGTCGAAACCGTAATTTATGACTGAGGATAGCGCGTCTTTAAAACATGATCAGTCAGTGCACATAATTGTGATTGCCTGTCATTGGATGAGCACAAAACATGTATTTGTATTTTTTACGTATACAAGGTACGTTTATTATTTGTTGGAGATCCAAAAAAAACTGATGGAAAGAACTGGTTAACCTGAAGGCTTATATCGTTTTAATGATGTGGAAAACTGCTTTTTTGTCTACTGTCCCTACTTTAGCAAGATTGTGTGAACTATGTGAAAGCAGAAAGTGAACTCAAAAAGAAAACTCAGGGCGCCTAGCTCTAAATCATACATCGCCTTGTGTTACTAATCCATTAAAATCCACAATATACTTGACCGTATCATTAATGAGATGGCTTCCAACGGATATGACAATCAAAATTCACACTTGTTAGTAACCAGCCCTACTCTTATCTAGTTTAGATTAACCAGAGACAAAAAAGTAACAATAAGTAACCCATGAATCTACTTGACACATAGTACGATGTGTATGGACGTAAATGTTGTGTGCTTTATCAAAGTTCAAACTCTAGAACGTACGATCGATCCCTTCGTCTACAACCGCGCTTCCAACATCAAAGGAGCCAATCACGCTTGCACTGTGCACTGAATTGTCATTCTTTTACCATAGATGATTGTATGCAGATTCCTTTGCAGGATCCTGAGAGTAACAGTTTGTATTTGTGTAGTTTTACTTTTAAAGTGACATATCAAGTAAACACAACGTCCGTTCATGTTGCACCGAAATAAAGTGAGATCTAAAATGAAAGACAAAGACAGATTGTCGTAGTGTTTTGTCTATGAAAATGTTTCCTTATTGCTGATTGGTAAAATGTTGTATTTACTCCGTGCAATTTGAATTGACATCATCGGAAACTTTATATATGAGCACTTTATTCACAGCGCACATTTAACAGCAAATATTTTTTGTCACAAATGTATAACTCGTTGAATATTTTTGTTTTGCTCAGCGTTGGATTTCAGATGGCTTGTGAAACGGGTAAATTATGTTCATAACATACAGTCTATTTTAAGTTCTCCATTAATTGTATTACAATGTACTGCACTTGTTTTTTATCGGAGCACGTTATTGCTCAAATGGTAATGATATCCGTTGAAGAATATAAAAACATAAACATTTAATGGTTTAAGAGACCACAACTTGAAAACAACCTTTATAAGTACACATGACGTCCTTACGGTAGATGTAAACACAACAGACGTAACAATAAAATGTTTATACAGCCGTAATATCATACGTAGACGACCGCATACTTTCAAGAGGCAACAAACAAGTTATATTATAGGTAGTTATCCATAAGTAGAATAGCTTTCTCCTTTTATAACAGTATTTTGCTGCTGATGTAACAGGTAAAATGATTTAGGATTACCGCAAACTATTTAGGAAGAATAATTTCGTAAGTGATATCTTACTGTAATGTCCACTCTAACTACAAACTTACAAGAATATTCGGGGAACGGTTTGAAATTGATAAACTACAATAAGTTTTTATAAAAGTACTTACGTAATATTGTTAGGATTCGTAATTAAATGAATGAAACGAATTATATTATAGGAAACATACAATTTATAATTATTAATTTGGGAATTAACGTGATCATAAGTATTATTTTTAATACCTGTTGATCGATTACTGTTCGATCGAATACAGGAATTCCAGGATTAATAATGATGACATAGACAATTTATTTAAATGAATGATATGTATACGCTGGGCGTGTTTCATGTAAATTTTTGAAAATCTCGGAATAACTCGACTGACTCGACTCGCTTCTGGCAACTTATATAACACTTTTAAATACTCTGAAGTGTTTATTCTACTCGTATATATGGAACGATCAGGCTTCAGGATCAGGTTTCAAAAGTATCTTTAAGTTTAACAAAAGCATAGTTTGGGTTAATCTGGAAGTACAGTTATTAAACACTCATTATATGTATCTCAGGTTCGAAATAATACCTTGTGATAACTTTTGCATGCTGCAGTATCACCCAAATGGGTAGTGGAACCTAAAGATGAAGCAGTCCTGGCTGGAGAAGCTTTAGCACTACATTGTCAGAGCACAGGGTCTCCTACGCCTCAAGTTACCTGGTTAAAGCAAAGAGGTTTGTTCATAATACTTACATTTTTTTTTCACAGAGGCATTACAAACAATATAATTATTAACAAAAACATACTAAACCTCCATTGGACACTCCAAATTCCTACATTTTGTTATGCTTAATATATTATTGCGGTTATCTTTAATAAATTGATGACAATATAGCAGCCTACAAAATCCGATCAATCGGGGGCTCTATTAAAAATGTAACTTAAACTCAAAAAGAGGAAACAAGTAAAGATGATGATATAGAGAAATCGACTCCGATATTATCAAATATCCATGCATTATTAACGTAATTTTAAAATACACACAGCATTTTAATAAGAAACTAATTTGATTTCGAAATTTCTGAAAAGGCCTATTAAATGCCCACAAAAATTATGTCGCCTATACGCACTTAAGATACGCTTGACTTTGATTATACGCTTGACTTTGATTATACGCTTAACTTTGATTATACGATTGACTTTGATTATACGATTGACTTTGATTATATGATTGACTTTGATTATACGCTTGACTTTGATTATACGATTAACTTTGATTATACGATTGACTTTGATCATACGCTTGACTTTGATTATACGATTGACTTTAATTATACGATCGACTTTGATTATACGATTGACTTTGATTACACGATTGACTAGGCCACTTTGAAATCCTCTTTAACCGTTTTTACTACACTATTTTCTACAGTAAAGATACCACTTGTACTATACAGCTTAGTGAGTATGCGTTTGTATGGTGTTTCTATTTTATTCACTTTTCCAGGGTCATCAATTGATTACATTCCCCTAGTAAACCTGGGTGGTAGGTTCCAATTCCTGTCGAATGGTACGTTGTGGATCGAGTCAGCGCTTCCCTATGATGAAGGGAACTACATGTGCAAGTCAGAGAATGGAGTAGGAACTCCGCTGACTAAAACAATATTTGTTTCTGTTAATGGTATGTTACTGATCATGTTTATTAAGAATTAAAATTATTTTTTGTGGTTTTAATTATTTTATTTGATTTGATTTGACGAAAACTATATTTGCAGTATAACAACTTGATAAGACTATAAGACTTGATTTTTAACATCTCTAATAAGTTGTCGAAATATCCATCTACCCAAATCCCATTACTTAATTGCCTAAAATGTATGAGTTTAATGAAAATAAAGCAATAGTTAAACATAAATCATTAAAAAAAATACATCCTCAAATACATAATTAACAAGATGAGCCTCATTTTAATAATAATTGTATCCACACTATAGAACCTGCACGGTTTGAGCTGACGTCACACAACATGACAGCTCGCCGTGATGCGCCTGCGACACTCGTGTGCGACGTGCGTGGAGACAGCCCTATCAGGGTCACGTGGGCGCACAACATGAATCACTTAGATCTTAATACTTATAGGTAAAAATAATGGAATTATATGATATTATATTAAGTTATAAGTTGCAGGGGTATGTCTGAAAAAACACTTATGCATGTATGTATGTATGTCTGAAAAATATAAAAAAATGAGCACACGAAAAAACTCTGTATGTATTAACATTACTTCAATAATAGTTCTTTTATTAACCAATTGTTTCTATTAGGTACAGTGAAACTATTTAATATGATTGAGATTACCAAATTTTATTTTTATTGACCCGTTACGCACTCTGCTTGAGACTGCGTGATGAAGCCCTTTGCTGTAGATTATTCAAATCGACAATGGAATTCAAAATTGCACTTCTTCGCTTGCCTAAGACCAACGATTGCCATCAAATTAAACTCTAAACCATTATTGTGCAATTTTGAAATTGAAAGTAAATCAGTTTTATTTATTTTTCAGACTAAGCATCTCTGAAGCAAAGACTGATAGTGGATTAAGATCGCAGTTGTACATCAGCCGAGCGGATCGCCAGGACTCTGGCGTGTACAAGTGTCAAGCTGTCAACGCTTATGGCCACAGCGACCATTATATTTATCTTTCCGTCCAAGGTGAGAAGACTTTAGAACTTCTCAATAGTACGACATTAATTCACAAAAAAGTGACGTTACTATGGGCATTGGGCATAGAGCAAACATACTCGTACCAGTTATTGTATGGTTACTGAGGATTTTTCTATCAATCATTACGAGAATATTTTTATTACGTTTCAATTCCAGAAAAACCCGACATGCCTCACTCACTTTCTGTGACGGAGATCTTGAGCCGTGCAGTTCGTTTGTCCTGGAGCCAGGGTTTTGACGGCAACAGCCCACTCGTGGGCTACACGTTACAGTACTGCGCGTTGTCTGCGCAGGGCGCGATACGCGTGAATCAGTGGGATGCCGCAGTCACCATCAACGTATCTATCCATGGGATCCCTCACTCACATGTTACGTAAGTTTTCTTATTTTGTAGTTAATATCATTTAATCTGTTGATGTAGTAGCAGGCCTGGCAGGCAGTGTACAGCGATTCTTCGATGTGCAAGGAAACGTATACAAAGAACAAGTTTAGCCTCTTTAAACCAAATGCAGGCTTTATCTAGATGAAGTATTTAATGTTGGTTGACGGGCCTGTTGGTCTAGTGGTTAGTAACACTGACTGCTAAGCCAGAGGTGGTGACTTCGATTTCCACCAAGGCCAAATAATTGTGTGATGTGTCTGGGTGTATCAAGACACATTCGATAATAGATATCGATAATTATGTAAGTATTTAGATATATATAAAAGTATTTACCAGCAGTCTAGTAACAATTTGCAAAACAAAAACAATATTGCCTTATCATCTTAATAGTCCGCCGTTACACATCAGGACAGAAACAGACAAAGTTATATTTTAAAGAGGAAACCTAAAGGTTTTTTTTTCTTATTTTAATAAGCTACTGTTGTCTGTACCTACCTATGATAGTTTTTAAATGACTTAAATAAGACAAATGTACGGAGACTCGATCCTCCAGTCAAACCCTCAACCCGGTTTTGGAGGGACCAAGAATGTAATGTCATGTTCAAAAAATTAAGTTGAAGTTAAATAATTTAAAAAGAAATTGCTGAATCCCAATTTGGGATCAGACGGCGGTGTATGAGGATTTGCGAGGTTATTATTATTATCTATATATAAATAAATAAAAACGTTAAGTTGGTTGGTGTACGCTTCAAAAATTCAAAAATGTCTGCACCGATTGAGCTCACTATATACAACACGTTTCAGAGGTGGTTTTATCTATTTTTTGTAACCAAAATGTGTCAGCGACCGTGGCAGGGTACAGCTAGTTAATATTAAACATATAAAAATTGAAAAGAAAATATATATAGATAAATATATAATTTGTTGGTTTTTGTTTTCAGCTTGACCAAGAAAGGTGATGTCCATTACGAAGCTCTACTCAGCAACTTAAAACCGCACACGGCGTATATGATCAGAATAGCTGCTATTAACCAGATAGATAGGAGCCCCTACACAGAGCCGGTTGTCGTTAAGACGCAAGAAGAAGGTAACTAAAACTATTTTCACGTTTTTAATTTATCCGTAGTCATTCTCGAAAAAAAATTGTTCTTTATTCATAGTTATTCTGCTAGTAACAGGACTAGATATTTCAAAAGCGTCAAAGCTAGTCATGTTTATCTTTACTTAGATATTTTTTGGGAACGGAGGAGGAGTGGTAACCTTTGATACCCCTCCTCTCCCTGATGCTGGTGTGGCTTAAAAGGCGACAACGCACTCTGTGACTCTTCAGTTGCAGGTTTCTATGGTAGTTACTTATCATCAGATAACCCGTCTGCTCGTTTGCTCCCTATACTATAAACAATGTGTTGAAACTTCAGCTGTTCTCGAAGTTCTAACATATTTTACCAAACTCAAGAGAAGAAGTAATGGCTCACGTAATGATCCATCGGTGCTATATTCTGAAGATCTAAAATATATGTTTTCTACAAATTTCAATTCATCTCATTCCTGTTAACAGCTCCATCAGAAGCTCCTACCAACGTGCATGTAACTCCTGGTGGACCAGGAGAACTCCATGTTTCTTGGCGCCCACCACCAAGAGATGCATGGCATGGGGAGCTATTAGGGTACTCTGTTACGTGTACTGAAATCAGTCCTTCTGCTTCAGCTATGAGAAATGCTAGCAGGTACTATGTTCTTCTAACCAACGAGAATTTTATTTTCCTGTCACAAAGTTTAACTAAGTCGTATTTTGTTTTTCAGAACACTGACAATAAACGGTTGGTCAGCAACAGAATTAAGTCTGTCAGCACTTCGAAAGTTCACGCGCTACGAGGTCCGTGTGAGAGCATTTAATGGTGTGGCTGCAGGCCCAGCATCCACACCTGTTTCAGCTACTACTTTAGAAGGAGGTAGAATAAGTTAATAACCTTACTAATAATCATTCAAACATGAAATTCCTTTACTTAAGAAGAATAATTTTGTGATGTGCAGTTCCTGAATCAGCTCCAACGAGAGTATCCTGCTCTCCACTATCGTCTTCTAGTATGAAGGTCTCATGGAATCCACCACCAATTGGACAGCATGGAGGTTTGATACAGGGATACAAAGTCATCTACTCGCCACTTACAAGTGATCATGGTAAATCATTGCATAGTAGAAATGGAAATTTCATTTAGACCTGCTATTGGCTACCTTTACAAATTACAACCGTACTGGTAACAGAAGTCATATATTGTAAGATACATTGTACCTGCACAAAAAAACGTCTTGTTAAAAGCATACTCGTATAGTAACATAAAATGTGTAATTTCTCTTGGACTTTATTTCATTTGAACCGATCTACCTAGTCCAGTCAACTTAGGATTTCATCTCCAAATTAACGGAATAATCTGAATATTTATACAAACCTTTATTTTGGTAATACAAAATTTTATCTCAAAAACCACATATCAGGTCAGGTGTCAGCGTTCTTGGGGCACCAGGAACTTCCTTTCTAGGGTATACCTGCTTCCCCGGCTATTAGTACCCGAGACGGCGTGCGGTTTTAGTCGGTTCGAGTCCGACATGCCACCGACAGGTGGTATCCGAGGGGATTTCCGCACGGAAAAAAAAAGGTGTCAGCGTCCTTAGATGTTTAAGTTTATCACATTTTTAAGAATATCTCGTTATATATATAATATATAAAAGTTGTAGAGGTTAAATTCTCAACAAATTTCCGTCTAAAACATTTTCTATACGTTAAGCGTTCCACAGTGTACTGAACAACCAAACTCACTTTCACATTAATAATACAAGTATAGACAAATACGATTCAAGGCAAAAGAAACGAGATATTCTCAAAAAGCTGATATTTGCGACATTTGAGTTTGAATATCTAAGGACTTTAACACATGAGAATACGTGAATTTTGATTTGGGAACTCATTGCACAAAGAATAAGAAAAAAAATAAGAAAGAGAATAAAAAAAATGTTTTATGTTTTCAGTGGACGTGGGGGAGATAAAGAGAGTGACTACAACGGACACATATCTCCACACGTTGAGAAAGTATACCAACCATTCTATACAAGTGCTAGCATTTACAAATGCCGGAGATGGGAAAAGAAGTTCTCCTATATACTGCATGACAGAAGAGGACGGTAAGCCGACAACTTATTGACTTATGTTTTTATATTCTTCCTGTCCTGTTTCTTAATTTATTTGGGATAATGTTACACCATTGCAAGAGATTTTGGCTTGCTTCTTTTACGGCCAGCGATTGCATGACGCCAACCCGCCTTAAAAATATAATTAATGTAAACGTAACAAAGAAAGAAGGTCAATTGGTACAGGATACCACAAGACACAGATAGTACACAAGATACTGATAGTAGTTAGAATAGAAAGACATCAACTGCCCTTTTTTTTTCGTGCGGAAATCCCCTCGGATACCACCATGGCATGTCGGACTCGAACCGACTAAAACCGAACGCCGTCTCGGGTACTAATAACCGGGGAACCAGGTATACCCTAGAAAGGAAGTCCCTGGTGCCCCGACATACCTCGGGCCATCTACAGACGAGTAGACGACCCCCCCGTGGGTGGGAATCGAATATCGCTTTGCTTGCAGTCAACGTTCCTGGCAAAAGTAAATAAAATTTCTTAGGTTTATGTTATATTTTATTAGCTTTGCCCGTGGCTCCAACTGCGTGTATTTCGGTAATCGCGTTCAAAAGCGTAATCAAGAATCACACTAGCTGCATACCAAATTCCATTTCAAACAATTCAGCGGTTACTGATTCCCTATACAAACGTCCACACCCGCCATTTTTACCCACTTAAAGGACGATTTCTGTGATAAAACTATCCTACGTCCTTTTCCGGGACTCAAACTATCTGTATACCAAATTTTATCTAAATCAGTTCAACGATTTAAGCGTGAAGAGGGAACAGACAGACAGACACACTTTTGCATTTATAATATTAGTGGAGGTATTACTTATGGATTAGGACCTTAGAAAGCTACTTCACTCCATCACGGTGAATACACACTTACCAGTAACTATAGATTAAATAAACTCTTATCATTCCGTAGTGCCCTCAGCGCCTGAGAAAATCAAAGCTTTGGCGTTCTCAATCAACTCGGTCCTTGTAAGCTGGCTACCTCCTCTGCATCCTAACGGCGTTATATCCCAATACACAGTCTACTACAGAGAAGCTGGACGGTAAGAACTAGATTGAATTTTGTCCGTTATTCTTTTCTAACCTTTATATTTCTTAATCAATTTTAAAGCAGTTAGATAGATTACAATATCAATACCTTCCTTTTAAAAGTATAAAGAAAGTGTTTTGAAACATTCAACTTTTAGTCAACTTGGCATTTTTGTTTTAATCTTTGACTTTATATTTTTCAATATGCTGTTTTATGTAATTTCTGATGTTACCTAAGTCTCTGTTGATCATACATTAATCTTGTAATACACTTCTGCAAAAAATTAAGGGAGCAAAAAAGATTGTGAAATTTCAGTGATTTTTTAAGGCTCATATTTCTGTGGAAAATGGTCGTATCAGGCTCAAAAATTCAGAAATTCTTAAAGATCTAAGAACTAGAATTATTGAGCTTCAAGATACTTCTTTTACGAACCTGATACGACCACGAACCGCAGAAACATGGGCCTTCAAAAATCACTGAAAAATTCTCATATTTTTTTTGCTCCCTTAATTTTTTGCAGAAGTGTATTTGTTAATCATTTTTAACGACAACAAATGTATACAATTTCGTTAAAATTATTAACATATTTGCCCTTTTTTTTTAGGTTAGGCAAGCACTCTAGTTTTCCAGTTTCAGTTGAAAAGAAAGCGGACAATGAGTTGATGTTCCAAGTAGGAAACCTTATGGAGAACCAGCTTTATGAATTCTGGGTTTCTGCTACCACTGGTTCGGGAGAAGGAGAGTCTACACTCGTAGTTGGACAAGGACCTAGTTCTAGAAGTATGTTCACATGTAATTTAAAATAGATGTGTCTAGTTTTAATTAATAATTATATGTTAATAAGAATTAGATTTTGCAATTAGTACGTTGCCTCTCATAAAGTTTAAATGGAAAGGTAAAGTGTCAGTATAAATGTAGTGTCTAATAATGTTGGATATGGGCGGCACAGGATCGATTGTTGTGGCGATCCTTGGTGGAGGCCCATGTTAAGCAGTGGACGTCTCTGAACTGAAATGATGATTGATGATGAAAGTGTAAATGCAAAGGTTTGTTAGTAGGATAGGACCGATAAATGTCTTGCCTCAGAGTCGTGTGATAATGGTTTCTTGAGGTTAGGGTAGCGAATAGCCGGGCACGCCGTCATTGCGGCGGTAAGACCCGTTATGGAGGATTGGCTCGAGAGGCGTCACGGGACCCTCTCATACCGATTGACGCAGGTGATCACTGGGAAGGGATGTTTCGGAGATCACCTGTGTCTGATCCGCAAGGAGCCAACGCCTGAGTGCCACTACTGCGATGGCCAGACCGTGGACACGGCTCTCCACACGCTGGCAGAGTGCCCGGCGTGGGTTGAGCAGAGGCGAGACCTCGTGGCGGCCATCGGAGTGGGAGTTCTCTCGCTCGATAGCCTGATTGCGGCTATCGTGCGGAGCGAGAGTGCGTGGAACTCTGCCGTCTCCTTCTGCGAGCAAGTTATGCTCGCGAAGGAGACGGCGGAGCGGGACCGGGAGAGGTTTAGAACTCTCCCGGCCCGCCAGGCCCGGGCACGGGCCAGGCAGCGCAGGCGACTCAGGCGCCGGAGGTCGCAGAACGACCTCCGTCCTCCATAAGCGCAGGCCTGGGGGTGACAGGTGAGGCCATCTGTCACCCTAGCAGAAGCAGGCCGGGGTGACAGCTAGCGCGTTGCGAAGCGCGCTCGCTTACAGGGAGCACAGGGAACATGGGGTTCCCACACGGGGGGGGGGGTCGTCTACTCGTCTGTAGATGACCCGAGGTATGACTTCCTTTCTAGGGTATACCTGGTTCCCCGGCTATTAGTACCCGGCGAAGGCGTGCGGTTTTAGTCGGTTCGAGTCCGACATGCCACCGATAGGTGGTATCCGAGGGGATTTCCGCACGGAAAAAAAAAAAAAAAAAAAAAAAAAAAGGGTAGCGAATAGCGGGATTTTTCATTCATTACTAAATTAATACTAACATGAGTTTTATTTTCTAAAATGTTTTATATACATATATACAAAGTCTTTAACACACAAAATAGCTTTCTTAAATGGACCTGTAAGTTGCATATTTAAAATTCACTATTCAGCCTATTTCCCATTACTTAATAATAAACTTTAGTTTTCAAAATAGATTTAAGTATATCTTAGATGTGTTTGACATTTTCGAGTTAACCCATTAAAATGTTTTTATTTGCATGTTATGTAAAAATAATATAGGTATTTAAAAATGTGTTTTGTGGGTCAGTCCCGGCTCGTATCGCGTCGTTCGGTCGCCGGGTGTCGGTGGGCGCGGGGCGCGCGGCGCTGCTGCAGTGCACGTGCGTGGGCGCGCCGGCGCCGCGCTCGCGCTGGCAGCACGCGCGCGTGCCCGTCACGCACCACCAGTACTACCAGGTCACGCACAGGGGACACCTGCACATACGAGGTACGAACATATTTGCTTCTATGTATATGTTTTATAAACAAAAGAGAACATAACAGAACACAATCTAAATCAATCTATCCACCTCTTGAACGGTACTCTATTTTATATGAAAAGTGCCCTATGTCCTTTTCCGTACCCCTGTAAATGTGTATGCGATATTTAATGTTAATGCATAATCTACGGAATCCGACTTTGTCATTTCTGCAGTCCAGCCCTGGATATTGCCGACACTGCCTTTTTTAGGTCATTTCCAGAAAGTTTCAGCTATTATGATTCCTTATATAAATCACCCGACAAATTTATTTACGTTTTTGTTAAAAGTTACTTATCTCCTTAATAAAAAATGTTCCTCTATAATCTATTTTTGGATGACTTTGCCACATTTTTTTAATATTACTTTTGCTTTACGTATTTTTTATTACCGTACGGAAAATTGTTAAAAACATTAATTAATTTTCAGTATTCACAGAAAATAAACCCTTCTTGGATAAAAAAAAAGTCATGATCCATCATTACTTAGATCTGTTATAAACCAACTATGCACCAAGACAATGACGTGAAGTTCCCCTGAATTCAAGGATCTAGAACCTAAACAAACTACGACGGGCAACATGAACAAAAGCAATTTACATTTACTTATTTACTAAATTCACTACAATTTTTACAGGTTATGAACCTAATACAATAGTGTAGCCAAAACTGCACTCTGTATATATGATATAAATGCACTCTTCATCCGCAAAAAAAAATCTCTATGCTGCATTTCATACTCTTCTCTATCAACAGAAGTAAATGAACAGTCATCGGGAAACTTCACGTGCACCGCTAGCAACACTATCGGAGAAGACTCCATCGTTTACGTAGTAACTGCCATCCTGCCACCTGCAGCTCCGGCTCTGTCTCTCCAATACACCACTGCTACCAGCATCAAAATACACTGGCAACTACCTGGTGATAGTGCTGAGCCAATACTTGGTAGGTTAATGTATTATGGAATACAACAGTTGACTGCCAAGCAAAATAACTTCTTAGCTTTATGTAGATAAGGCTTTAATAGATAAGGCTTATATATTTGTAGGAAGTAATAGCTGAACCGTTAGGTCTTACAATAAAAGAACTTCATTTTAATATCTAACTTTTTAAATTAATGATAAACTTGAAAATTTTATCAGTGAAGCCAACAGACATGCTCCATTAAACCTAGGAATTTTTTTTTGATCTTGCAGATGATTTAAAAAATGAAACAAATAAACTAAAATAAAAAAAATAGGTACAGTTTGGCCAAACTGTTGATTCGACGTCATCTACCAGATTCAGTCTGCAAATCTATTCCTTGTAGAGCCTTACTAAAAAAATTGAATAAGTAATTTGTTAAAATCTAACGGTTTAGGTGGGGTTCAGTAATATACACACCTACAGAAGAGTTTCAATGTTAAGTAATACATAATTTTATGATAATGAAAACTTAAGTTTCGCCTTATTTGTATTATAAATGTATATAATGTTTTAGGAATTTTAAATATACGTAATAATGTGTATAATATTGTTACGAGCGGGGTATATAATAATTAAAATTTGTCGGTTAATTACTTTAGTGCACTATATTTAGAAACACTCAATAAAAAAACTAGAAATCACTATATATCGAACTAGAAATTCACTCCGATGTTAATTCGCTGTTTCGTAAAACGAAACTGTCTCGAACGGCCAACACGCTCCGCTTTTATAGCGCTTTTGAATTTTACTAGAAAGTTCCTTGTATTCGACAGTCCGTTCACAACAAACACGAATATTCCAGAATCAGTAACGCGTTACCTGCAGCGCCAGCTAGCGCTGTAAGGATCAGAACTACTCGTATTAACCACAATCCTAATAGATGTACTCTGTCCTCGATCGATACTAGATGGCGCTGTCCTCCATATTTCATACAATCGAACCATTTAATCCTATATATTGTTAGGACTGATTGCATACAATTTCAAGCACATACGTTTATTATTTACTTGCGTTGCCGTTTCTATATTGTTAGGCCGCCATTCCTACATTGAAATCTCTGTACTCTTATTGGTTGTTTTGTCTCTAGGTTATCTATTACACTACAAGCAAGTTTCCGACACCGACTGGCACATCGTAGAACTGTCTCCTGAAGTCACCAACTACGTCATGGATATGCTCAAGTGTGGGTCAACGTATAACGCTAAGATACAAGCTCGCAACAAGATCTCCATAGGACCACCTAGTGAAGTGCTTAGCGCCACAACTAGAGGGGGACGTAAGCACTGACTATTGCCTAATTTATGTCCTTTGTATAACTGATTCACTGATTTATTGGTAAACTTAGAATACCTTGAGATGAATGAAATCGTAGTCATTAAAATGTAAAATACAGTACAACTATTTACTGCGTGTTGTTTTACACTAGGACCAAAACCTCCAAAGCCCGAAGATCACGTCCATATGAACTCCACGGCGATTAAGATTAACTTCTATGCGTGGCGAGATGGTGGTTGCCCTATACTGGGATTCAGAGTTTCGTATAGAAGAGCAGGCTCCGAACATTGGATAAAGGTAAAATCATATGTGGTCTAAAAGATCATCTAATTACAAAATAAAAATGACCTGACACATCTCACACACGGCCGTCTGTTCCCAAATTAGGCAGAGCAAGTACTACTGTTCTAAATACATAATTACCATAGACAAGATCTCTATCTTAGCAGTCAGGGTCACTAACCACTAGACCACAGGGCCAGTTAAAATAAATTATGGTCTATGTTCGATAACAACGTCACGTCATGAAAAACTAAAGCTAAGGCATTCGTATTTTGATGACCCATTGAGTCATCATCATCAGCCTACCGCAGTCCACTTCTGAACATAGGCCTATTCCATTGCACGCCACTTAGATCGATTTGAGGTATTTATTTCTTTTCAAGATTTACTTACCATTTATATTTAAACTGATTTGTGTCTAACTATTTAAAATAAAATCATTTGTATTTCTACCTGTAGGACAGTTCACAGAGGATTTAAAATTAAAAACACATAAACATAATATCTGTCGAAGTTAATATTTTAAAGACATCCTAACAAGGTTATAATATCTCCTCAGGTCGGCGACGGGCTGAGTTCAGCTAGCCATGTCGTTGGTGAATTAACGCCAGCGACGTGGTATGAGCTAAGCGTGGAAGCGTACAGCGACGCGGGTGTGGAGCGAGTCACGCTCAGAGCTGATACTCACACTTTAGCTGGAGGTAAGGATTTCCCTCACACCATGTAATAAAAATCTTACTTTTTACCGACGTTCAATAATTTTCAATGAATTTTATTCCGCAGGTCGTATACCTCCAATGAAACCGTCATCCCCACTTTCTGGTGGGTCCAAGCCGACATCGTTGCGGACGGTGCTAGTATCGTGTGTTGCGAGTGGTGTTGTAATAGTCGTCACATTGGCAGCCATAGTGTGCCTTGTGCACGGCAAGAAAAAGTAAGTCCAATCGTTTTAATAACTTCGTATTCAATAAAATACAAAGACGATATTTTGCCTTGCACTTTAGGGACGTTATTTTAGACATGAAATAATTTTACTTTTTTGCATTACTTCGTTCATAATTAATAAAACACGCCGATTAAGAAAAAAACTACAAATATATAATAAATAACGTTCCTGAAGAAACGAAACCAGCAGACGAATAAAAATTGTGGCAAAATTTTTATTCGAGTTGACTAAGAGTGAGTAAGAGGATAAATATAATAGGTCATCAAAATGAACACCAGATTGACAGGCAGCCGTTTTTGACTAATTGACACTAAAGGGTGGGAGGACAACCTAAAAAGGCAATTCACCGTTACAACAAATCATTGACTAACATATTGTATACTTTCAGATTTTTCTGCATCTCGAGTGACCACTACATAAGAGATAATAGAAAACTAAGTGAAAGCAATGAGGCTGAGAGGGAGAAGCTTCGAGAGGGACAGAAACTTTACTCATCCTCTTCTATCAATGGCAATGAGAAATCTAATGATGACTCATCAGGTTAGTTAGGTTAGGTGAACTACTGCATGTCATGTTGCCTTAGATTTTGGTCCTACGTGACTATAAACCGCTATACGTATATTAAACTTTAGTGTGGTTATAAACCATTGGAACCGTATATAAATCCTCTTCTAACGCGGGCTAACCACAGTCCAACAATCGTCAATACGTAAGTAGGTAATAGTACAAACTTTAATTAGTGAAAAGATAAATTTGTTAAAATTAACTAAAAGCTTGCTACATGCGATACCACCAATGATACTTTAAGGAAGATACGTTATATTCATACTGCACGCACAAAATATTTGGTCTGTAACCGTACATAGGTACATCTATTAATGCGTTTTAGAACAAAACATACACTTACCTGTGGTATCTTATCCTGTAGTATCTTTATTTACCTTTTTGTCGTAATTTCTGCACTTTAGAAATACACAGGAACGCATTTCAGGAATTTTCTTGAAATAATTAGTACGTGCGCTCGCTCGCAGTGGTCCTAATTAGGACCCTCGCGTTTTTTGAGTTGGTGGCGTATCTACCTTATGTTTGTATATAATATCATTGACCAGCACAAGGCAAATTATTAACTCAGTTTAGTTGGACCCAAAATTATGCCTTGAGGCACTCCTATCGTACCAATAGTAACGCTCTGTTTTATTTCAATTTAAGGCTAAGGGATATATCGAATCATTTTACTTATGAAAATTTTCTCAAACTTAGCAATTTACCGCTCTGTTAGAATACCAGTCAGTGCTTTGCGGTATTAGAAGTTTACTTTGAGTCTTCTACTTTCTACGTTTTTTTTAATTTAAGGAGGATAAAATTATATACTCATGGTATAATTTTCAAAATGCTATTGTAAAAATGGTTTTAGTCAAAAAAAATTACAAATTTATGAGCAGAAAAATTAGTTACTATGAACTATTTTAAAAAGAATTGTGAATCAATGTTATAACTTCATTGCACAGCGGAATTATACGAGATAAGTCCGTACGCGACATTCGGAGTGTCAGCGGCGCACTCGCTGCAGTTCCGCACGCTCGCGCGCCGCGAAGACGACGCCGCGCCCCCGCACCGCCGCCGCCACCGCGCCTGCGACCACTACCGATACGGTACCTTACTAGCCACCACATATATCCAACAGTTTTTTTTTGCTGTATAGGAGGCAAACGATCAGACGGGTCGCCTTATGTTAAGTGACTACCGCCATCTGCGATTCAAAAATCACTAGTGTGTTGCCTTTGAGTCCCCCCCGATCAATCTCCCTTCAGGAGGTGGATTTTAGCTACAGTGACCTCCCTCACTCGATGAACAGCAAGGAAAAAAATACTTATTTTCTGTGAGTTCGTGGTATCAATTCTTTCGAGCCGACCCATTTGTGCTGAAATTCACCGTATATACCCAGAAATTACCAGATAGGAATTGAAACTTACAATAGAAATTGCATTTACCTATAATTTTTAGTAAGGAGTTCATTACTAAAGGAACAATCTAATTAGCCTATGTATGTAATAGGAAGGCGCATATTTGAATCACAAGTTACTTTCATCACTTTAAGGTTTAAAGCTTAATAGTTTGAAAAAATCATAACATCAGCAGAAGCAAGAAATAGTCAAAATATCGAAGATGCAATTAGGAAGCATAGAGATTTGTAAAATCACTGCCCGGGTTCTGGGTTGTTTGAGTACACATTCTTTGAAAGACTCCCGTGAGAAAGGTGTACTTCTGCCTTGAGAGTAAAGTAAAATATTTTATCATTCTAAAGTGATAACAATTTTATATAAAATCTATTACTATCCCGCTTATCTGTGTGGTGACGGATTAAGAATATGGAGTGTCACCAACCCTATTCATCCCGTGGGTGTCGTAAGAGTCGACTAAAGCAACTACAGACTGCAAAGATAAGGAAAACTTGAAACAAACCCATAGAAACCCGTCTGGCCAAAACCTCCTTTCTAAAGAGAGGCCCATGTCCAGCCAGTGGACTGCTAGGGACTGTTGATGATGATGTCTACCCCGCCTCATGCAATAGTGTACAAATTTAACACTTACACCGAGCAGTCGCTTGGTCCGATTCTTGAACTTGGCCCGACAGATGAATCGAGCCTGTCTAAATGCTCGACAGTGGAGGCGCGGCACCGCATGCGCGCCGCCTGCGCCAGCGCCGGCCCCGCCTCCACCAGCTGGCGCGACACGCACACCGACTCCGACGACAACAGCGACAGTGCCGCCAACACCACCACCAAAGGTACCTTATTCATACCAACATACAATATAATTAATAGAGATTTGTCTCCATTTCCGCCATCGTTCCACACGGCACAATTTTCATCCTCATTACCTGGATAGTTGGCGCTCCACTACTGTGCGCTTTTCGAGACACTTTTTGCCCCGCACAACCAATCTGTGGAACGGGTTATCGAATGGATACGATATCGATGGAACGGATATGACCTTCAAAACTTCAAGAAAAGAGCGTACTCCTTCCTAAAAGGCCGGCAACGCGTTTGTGACTCCTAAATTGCAGACGTTCATGGGCGGCGATAGTCACTTTCCATCAGATGACCCGTCTGCTCGTCTGCGCCCTCTAACATAAAAAAAAACAAAAAAAAAAAATTGCCAATTCCTACTTTTTATTAGTTTTTTGCCCACTTTGTGAAAAGTATAAGCATCTGCTTTAAATGTGTTGTTGTTGTTCAATCGATTAAAAAGTTTGTTCATTGGCAGCTAAATGTAACTAAGCACTGATTTATTAGTGAAGATCAAATGAAAACCTAAGTTCACTCTTCCACTTCCTCACCAAATTGTGACGTTTCATGCTATTAATTATATCCTAATATTGTTGGTGTATGATTTGCTGCTACTGTAATAAACCCTACCTAATATTATAGATGCGAAAGTAACTATGTCTGTCTGTTACGCTTTCACGGCTAAACCGCTGCCGCGTTGCACCGATTGTAATGATATTTCGCATGGAGATACTTGTTACCGCGAAAACCGACATATACGCGGGCGAGCCACGGGCAATAGCTGGTGAACAATAAAAGAATTATCAACAATTTCTCAGGTTCAGGCACATCCCCGTGCGGCAGTGCCTACGGCAGCGGCCGCCGCAGCGCCCGCACTACCAGCAGGTAGAACTCAGGTACCTCCCCCGCTACTCCTCACCACGAGCCACCACCTTCACCAACCTCCACCTTAGTGATGCACTCATTATTGACTTGTTCGCTATGTGGCTGCGCTGTAAGAAAACTTTGCCTGAGTTGCAAATAATTGTAACTGTGTGGATACAGAGACCATTTTTATTACGGTGTGTTTCTACGTGTGTGTGTGTGTGTGTACAGTCAAGCACAAAAGTATTTTTTCGTTATTTTTAATTTCATTTGTGCGTAAACCATATACAAATGTTCCTGAAAATTGTGTAATAATTTTTGTACAGCACCGAAATTTTTTGTTCACTTTTGAGTTCCTTACAATGTCTTCTATTACTTTTTAGTTTGCCTTAAAACCTGATACTGATAGCTTTATATTGATTTAGATTGATAGTCTGAATGTAACACAAGCTTCCTACTTGTATTTTTTTTGGATTTTAGATTCTACAATGTCGATATTAATATTTTTTATACAATGATATTATCATGTCTATAAAGTACTACTATTTATTTTTTGTTGGACAGTGGAGGGCCGAACGCAAGCGACGGCCTCTCGGGGTGTTTTGCCCCGGTCCCCGTTGATATATCTTCTTTGATTGACAAGTAAGCAACAACACAAACTTTTCATTCCATTCGTTTTAATAAAATATTTAAGAAAGTGGAAGCGACATATTTTAGATATCTATACTAATATTATAAAGAACTAAAGTTTGTGAGTTTAAAAACTCTTTCATTGTTACAAAGGTATATTATCTCTGAATGCTTAGGGGATACTTTTTAACGCGATAACTTACACACATTCGTTTGCAGCCGCAGGCACAAACTAGTAGGTACTCTATATTTTTATTATTATCATTAGTATAGATATCGGCCTATACCAACCTGCCTGACCAGCGTGGTATAGTAGGCCAAAACCTCCTTTGTAAGGAAGGACCTATGTCTGTCCTGTATTTATACTCTTTTTCCAATTTAATTTAGGGTCGGCGCAATATGTATGAATTTGCAAAAGGACAGGAGGGCATTGCTTAATTTTTACTGTGGCCGGTCTTTCCTTGGAAATGTAGTCGTTTTGTCAGACGACTGGTCCGTGTGGTGACGGATTAAGAAGACGGAGTGTCACCACCCCTATTCATCCCGAGAGTGTCGTAAGACCCGACTAAGGCAGCGAACTACGTAGGACAACAGCACTGCAAAGAGAAGGAAAACTTGAAACCAAACCCTATACCAACCCGTCTGGCCAGCATGGTATAGTAGGCCAAAACGTCCTTTCTAAGGCAAGGCCTTCATCCAGCAGTGGACTATTAAACGCTGTTGATGTGAAGATGAAAACGGGTTACAGTTAGGGCAAGAGTGCTAGAGTGGGTACTGCAAGTCTCAGACTTGGAAACGGAGCTGTGACTCCGGTAGCTGGAAGATGTTGAGGACGAATACCTGTATCTTCTTGTCTTGTGATTATAGAGTCCAGTAGGACAGGGACATCGACGGACCAATGACTGTCCTGTAGGTCTGATGGTAGGACTGATAAGCCAAAGGGTTCAATTCCCATCCAAGACAAACAATTATGTTTAAGACATCTGACTCACAACCCCAACAAACTTCAAACTAAGCAGAGCTTGAACTATGAAAGCTAGATTGACTGATAGAATACTTATCCTTTTTGAAACATACATACATATTATACATAGAATTATATATATATGAACATAGAATGCAAATCATCAAACATTAAGTCGACCCGGACATCGATTCCGAGACCTCAGAACAGCAGATGCATACGTTACCACTGCACACCGAGACAGTTACTCGTACTTAAAAATAAATAAGTCTGTTTATTAGTAGTCTGGTTACCGGAGTACAGGCTCTGCCTAGCTTGAGATCAGACCGCCCGGTGTGAGATGTGCGAAATTATTGTTATTATATATTTCTGTGAATAATAATATCTTGTCTCTATCTCCAGGTATCAACAGAGGAAAGAGCAAGAGAGACGAGAATGTACAATTCACGTGTAGCATTAAAGACATTACAATATTTTCTAATTAAAAAGTCTTATCACGAGTGTATCTAGTGAAAAAGGAATCTAATACAAAAATTCTCGATATACATACCTCCGTAATGGCGATCGTTTTTTAAATTTAAATTAACGCTGTAATAAGCAAAATGTAATAAGCAGAAAGAAAGCTTTGATCGAATTACGATCACTTTAAAAAGAGGCTTAAATTAATAAAATGTGATTAGGTCACGAAACTGAATCCCCATTTACTTATTGAAGATATGTTAAGTTATATGTAACAAAATTATAATTAAGTATACTGTTTAACTATGACAGTTTAGATTTATGAAAAACATTGTAAATACTAGCAGATGTTATATATAACTCAATAATATTTTGCTGTGAGATTACGAGAGCACAAATTTGTTCTCGGAATTGAGGATTTGTTTGATGTCCGTTACGGTATTTATGTGTTTACAAACACCTCACAGCAAATCTTAAAGAATTATTACTATATATATTTGACTGTATTGGTGATTACGCATAGCGTAATAAAATAGTCAAATGTATACATACTTCGATCAAACAAACTAGTTTATTTGATCGAAGTATACATAACAATATTTTTAGTGTTTATAAATAAAATTTAAATAAATTTATGAAAGTATGTAGACGATAAGTAAGATTTATATATAATGGCTGTTCCAAACTGTAAAAGATACATATCATAAAATAGACTGCCAGTAAATAAGTTATTCGTAATTCTTTTTAATAAATTGTTGATTAATATAGTTAACTAGGTATTGATTATACACTATTGTATAAAAATCTTTCTATATACATGTTGTGTAATAATAAAATTATTGATATTAGCGCAGAGGAAAGGAATAAAGATGTGTGTTGTGGTATAAACTTTTATTTTCTTCCACCTGTTTCAAACAATAAATGAAGGGCACAAAGAGGTATCTGAAAATATCGAAAACTAAAAATGCTAGCTTAGTGAAATAAATTGTGTTTAAGGCGAAGGGTTCTCTGACCGTCCACGAAATGCGGGTTGTCGACGAACGGATGGCCTTTGAGCAATCACCTCGCCGCTTGGCGCTTCCTGCTGCACTGAGTGTTGTGGGTTCGATCCCACCATGAGAAAACAATTAGTGTGGTCTACGGATTGTTGTTCTGAGTCTGATTGTTTTTTGAGTCCGTTTCATGCATGTCTGTTGGATCTGATTTATCTTATAATCGGTCAGTGCGTTACTACACAAACATAGAGCAACACAAGGTCACCATGCTCGCAAAGGGTGCCAGTGCACCTGTATCTATTCAGTTTCAGGTTTAAATATATATATATATATATATATGAATGTATACCAGTCCTACTGTTTCTGTCCATCTCCTCAACTATTATTTTCTCGTTAAAAAAAACTAAATTTCTAGTGCACCTACTCAGACATTTCGCCACCACCCAAAGGTAAAACTGGAAGAAAATGCCTGTGGCATTAAGTCCTCCATTGTACACTTAATTGTTATTTGTGCAAAAAGAATTTAATAATAATACATTTTAATAAATCTAAGCGTGCTTGTTATCAAACAGCGTAACTTAATTCCACCAAAACTAAAAACAGGACACGACTAAAAGTAACCACTTATACCCGAAATCTTAACGAGATGCGGTGTCGGGGCAGAGGTTTTTTTTTTTATTTTCCGTTCCGCTTAAGGACACGTTAGCAATTACTGCATTTGTTTTTCTAGACCAGATTCCAGCCAGACTCGAATCTAGAAATTGGTTTTAAGAAAATGCCAACCGACAGGCTACTGGCATTGCGGACCTTTGTCCGAAAATATTACCTGCCTATTAAAGTAAGGTAAGGTTTTTAATTATGACTTACATAATTAAAAACCTTACAATTTTCAAAGTTCGATTATAGATATAAAAAAAATTAACTATCAAATATTTCCTAAGGGCGGTAGTATCAGATTATTATCACGACACGAATACAGTTAGTCCATAATAATACCCAAAACCAAATTTTACGCGCACAAAGAAGCGGGCACAGCTAGTAGCAATAATACGGTTGTTATAAAAACAATTGATAGCTGCGAACACGTAATTTCAAAATACATTTTGAACTATGTATATTGCGCGGTGACTCGACAACAGTAATATGCAATAAAAATAAATAGAAGGGTATGGTATGTTTTCCTTTATTACTACTCTAATATTTCACTCTTGTATTTTTAAATTATGCGGTCGGAGCTGTCAATGCCATTATTCAAAGTCAAAGCAAAGAGTCGTCATCCGTTGGTCACCGTCAAAACCCAGATAAAGGTATCAGGTAACTGACATTTTATAGATGACGCCTGCTTGAAGACCCCTGACAAAGCTGTTTCATAAAGTAATGTAGCAAAATATGTTTTTTTTTACAGAATCACAGTAAGAAAGTGTCTACAATACAACAGGTTCACTGTGAAATAATAATAGAAGTGCAAGTGATAATATTTAAGACATTACAGCATGAATCACGCTCCAAGATTCACTAGTCAGTAACTGCATACAGCTTAAAGAACTATAAGGAAATAACCCACATAAAGCAGTTACTTTAAAAAGATTCAGAGTCATTAGAATCAGGAATGATTACTGTGCATGTTTTACTCACAGTGCTCATAACGACGCATCTCCCAAAGTTTACTGATTCGAAAATTGGACTCCGCGTATACCAAGGTTTAGACGACATAACATCAAAATATCCTTATGTAGTTAGTATACAACCTCTGCGATCCTGTACCGGGTCTCTTTTAACAGCAAATTGGGTTCTTACAGCTGCGCATTGCTGTATAGAAACAGCGAAACTGATACAGTACGGTAATATGTCAACTCCGCTTAGTCTGAGCGATTCGACGAGTAAAGTGCTTAAGCGGATACGACATCCACGATACATATCTGGTAAATTTGCACCTCTTGACATAGGTTTAATGTTTGTAAGCCCCGTGGCTATGAA